TCTGCCACCATGCTCTCGAGAAGGGAGTTTCCCAGCTGATAAGTGTGCTCCTGGTTCCCACTGCCCAAGTGCAGCACCCTGCACTTGTCAGTATTGAAACCCATCCTATTTTTGTTAGCCCTCCTCTGGAACCTGTCCAGGTCCTGATGTAACATGTCCTTCCCTACTACCGTGCCCACCACACCCCAAATCTCGGTATCATCAGCAAATTTAAACAGGCTGCTTTTCACCCCATCCTCCAAGTTACTAATAAAGAAATTGAACAGTGCGGGCCCAAGGACTGAGCCCTGGGGGACCCCACTGCCCACTTCCTTCCAGGTTGAAAAAGACCCATTCACCACCACCCTCTGAGTATGACCTTTCAGCCAATTTGCAATCCATCTGATTGTGTAGGCATTGATGCCACAGTCACCTAGTTTTTTTTAATGAGGATGGGGTGGGAGACAGTGTCAAAGGCCTTGCTGAAGTCCAGAAAGACTACATCCACGGCGACACCTGAGTCCAATGCTTTTGTGACCTGATCATAGAAGGCAATCAGGTTGGTCTGACAGGACCTGCCCCTAATTAAACCATGCAGCTTGCCCTTGAGCATGATCCCTGCTGGTGGCCCATCACAGATGTGCTCCTTGATAACCTTCTGAAAGAGTTTCCCCAGGATTGAAGTAAGACTAACGGGCCTATAGTTGCCCGGGTCCTCCCTCTTCCCTTTTTTAAAGATAGGGAACACGTTGGCTATCTTCCAGTCATCTGGCACCTGGCCAGAGCACCATGAGTTCTCGTAAAGCTGCGCCAGGGGCCCCACAACAACCCCTGCCAGTTCCCTCAACACCCTGGGGTGGAGAGCATCTGGACCCGCTGATTTGAACATGTCCAGCCCCTCCAGAAGCTCTGTACCCCAGTCCTCCCTGACCTTAGGCCTGGCAGCATTTCTCCCGAGTCCGTCTGGAATCCTGGTTGGGGAGTCCCGGTCCCAAGACAAGAAAATGGAGGCAAAGAATTTGTCAAAGAGGTCTGCTTTCTCCTCTGGTGCAACCACCAGATTGGCAAGCATATCCTGCAGGGGCCCCACATTACCCGGTGACTTCTTCATTCTCCCTATATATTTAAAAAAGGACTTTGTATTATCTTTGATCCTTGACACTAGCCCTAGCTCTGTATCTGCCTTAGCTTTCCTAACAGCCCCACTACAGACCCAAGCAGTGGTGCTATACTCCTCTTTGGTGATAGCCCCTCCCTTTCACAGGGTGTACGCCTCCTTTTTGGCAATCAAGCATTCATTAATATCCTTGGTGAGCCAGGGGGGCTTTTGGGCACTCCTGCCCCCCTTGCTTCTAGTTGGGATTGTCACCCCTTGGGCTCTGAGTATCGTCTCCTTAAGGAATGACCAGTCATCTTGGGCACTGAGTTCCCCTACTCTTGAGGACCCCAGTGCTTCTCCCACTAATCTCAACTCATTCAAGTTGGCCCTCTTAAAGTCTAGGGCTACTGCCTTGCTGCAGGACCTTGACACCCTGCACTGGATGGTGAATTCCAGCAAGTGATGATCGCTATTGCCCAGGTGGTCGAGGACCTGGAGCCCTCTTACCAGGTCATCACCTGTGGCCAGGACCAGGTCCAGCAGGGCATTCCCCCTGGTGGGACTGTGCACCTCCTGGGTTAGGTGGAGGTCCTGTATCTCATCCAGGAACCTCCGTGAGTGGTCTGACCTGACTGACTGCTCCTCCCAGCAGATGTCCAGGTAATTTAGATCACCCATGACGACTACGTCCCTTGCTTTAAGTGCCTCCGCAAGCTGACCCAAGAATTTGCAGTCCAGCTCTTCCCCAGGGTTGGGGGGTCTGTAGTAGACCACCACCATTAAGTCCCTTTCCCCATGACCCCCCTGGATCCTGACCCAGAGCACTTCAGCCTGCCCCTCCTCTGACCCCATCTTGCTGGTTGAGGATGTGTGTTGTTCTTTGATGTAGAACGCCACACCCCCACCTTTCCTCCCCGCTCTATCCCACCTGTATAGTCTGTAGCCCTTAATGTTAACCGCCCAGTCGTGGGATGAAGCCCACCAGGTTTCTGTGAGCCCTACTATGTCTGGGTTTGAACAGGCTATTCGGAGGGCAAGTTCCTCCTCCTTATTCCCATACTACGGTGGTTGGTATAGAGGCATAGATAGATTTTCAAGACTATCTGGACCCGTTACATACCTGGGTACTCCTTGCGTATGTCACCTGACTTGGTCGGGAGGTGTCCTTAAGTCTTCCTGCGGCCCCATCCCCCGGTGAAGGTACTTTAAAGCTCGACGCACGAGATCAGCCAACCTGAAAGAGAGGACATGCTTGCCTTTAGGAGAGAGATGTAGCCCATCCCGCCCAAGCAAGTCCCCTGCACGAAAGCATGGGTCGTTATCCAGGAACCCAAGGCCTGCCTGGCGGCACCAGCTCCATACCCGCCAGTTGATCTCGCCAATGCAGGCCTCGTGTTGCAGTCCACACCTACTCACCAGGAGAATAGAGGAGAATACCGCCTGTGCCCCCGTCTCCTTTAGCTTGGCCTCCAGGGCCCCGAAGTCCTTCATGATGTGGTCTGGGTTGCCCCTGGCCATGTCATTTCTTCCCGCATGGATAAGAACCATGGGGCACTGGTCTAAGGGTCAGATATAGGCCGGGATCCTCTCCATGATGTCCCAAGCCCGAGCCCCAGGCATGAAGCAGACCCCTTGTGCCATGGTGTCAGGACAGCAGATGGGACCCTCCAGTCCTTGTAGGATGGAGTCCCCAATGACAAGGATCCGGCGTTTCTTCCTGCTGGTGTTCATTCTCTGCGCCGTCTGTGTTGTGTGCGAGTTGGAATCATCCCCACTCGAGGCATCCCCTTTGTACTTCTCCATCACGGCTGCTAGGGCCTCAAACCTGTTTCCCAGTTGTGCCTGGGGAGCCTCCACCACGCTAGCCCAAGCATCTCTGGATCTGGTGGACACCTTCTGCCACTCCTGTGTTGAACGCGTCTCCTGGGGGGGCTGTACAGTGGATGACTGGGCCTGTGGCAAACAGAAATAGCAGTCGATTTCAAACTCTGCAGCCCTGATCCCCCTCAGCCTGCTAACCTCCCGCAGCTCCCTCGCCTGCGCCTCCAGAGCCCTAAGACGGGCACCTGCCGGACAGGTGTGGGGGCCCCCAATCTCTGCCCTCCCGACCCTGCTGGGGATCCCCCGAAGGCCAGGAGGTAGGGGGACGTCAGCTCCCCCATGGGCTCATTCTGGGTGGAGGCCTCAGACCGGCCCCGGGTGGGCTTGGCCCCCTGGGCAGAGGCCCTAGCAGCACTCCTCGTCGACACCAGTCTATAAGCTGCTGTTTGTAGATCTGTGTGGTGTCTATGCCCTACCTGTACAGGAGTCTCTCTCCTGGCCCTTCCTGCCCGCCCGCCGGCGTGAACGCCTGCGCAAACGCCGGCGCGCTCCTACAGAGCGCACCTGTTTGCGCGCTCTGTTCGCGCTGCACAGCTCGTGAGCGTGGCACCCTACCGGCTCAGCTATATGGGACCCGGGGGGGGGGAGCTGTCAGCCACAGCACGGAGGACCTGATCCGAGTGGACTTTACTGTTCCCAGCGCTCCTATTCCCGTCCTGCCGCCCGGGCTCCTACAGGAACTGCTGCTGCTGCTGCTGCTGCTGCCGCCTCCGCCTCCAGTCAGCAAGTTAGTAAGGGGGCACACGTGCGTGCAGGACACACGTGTGCTTGGATCCTCACCTTCCCGGTGCTGGCTCCCGAGTGCCCTTTGCTAGCTGCACCTCGCCAGCCCTAATGTCTACGAAATCTATGAAAACCTCAGGAGATTTCTTTTGACCCTATCCTCCAATTAGTCTAGGTTACTCTGAATCCTAGCCATACCCTCCAGTGTATCTACTGCTCCCCGCAACTTGGTGTCATCTGCAAACTTGCTGAGGTTGCACTGCATGCCCTCTTCCAGATTGTTGAACACATTGAACAAAATCAGCCCCAGGACTGACCCCTGGGGCACCCCACTTGACACCGGCTGCCAACTAGACATCAAGCCACTGAATACTACTCTCTGAGCCCGATGCTCCAGCCACTTTCTGTCCACCTTTCAGCCCATTAATTCAGCCCATACTTCCTTAGCTTGCCTGCAAGCATGTTGTGGTAGACTGTATCAAAAGCCTTGCTAAAGTCAAGATACACCGCACCCACTGGTCTGTCCGCCTCCAGAGAGCCAGTCACCTCGTCATAGAAGACAATCAGGTTGTTCAGGCATGGCTTGCCCTTCATGAATCCATGCTGATTGTTCCTGATCACCTTCTTCTCCTCCAAGTGATTAGAAATAGATGTCTTGGGGATCTGCTCCATGATTTTTCCAGAGACTAAAATAAGGCTGACTGTCTGTAGTTCTCTGGATCCTTGTTCTTCCCTTTCTTATATAGGGGCATTATGCTTGCTCTTTTACAATAATCTGGGACCTCTTCTGATCACCATGAGTTTTCATAAATGATGGCCAGTGGCTCTGAAATCACATCAGCCATCTCCCTCAGCACCATAGACTAGAATATGTCCAGGTTTTCTAAAAAGCCCCTAGTCTGCTCTTTTGCCACCTCCTCCCCAAGCCGTGCTGCCAGGTGTAGTCTGGGAGCTGACCTTGCCTGTGAAAACTAAGTCAAAAAAGACATTGAGCACTTCAGTCTTTCCTGCATCCTCTGTCACCAGGTTGCCTCCCCCATTCAGGAAGGGACCCACACTTTCCCTGATCCTCCTCTTGCTAAAGACATACTTGTAGATCCCTTTTTTTTTCTCCTTCATGTCCTTTGCTAGCTGCACCTCCAACTGCGCTTTTGCCTTCCTGACTTCATCCCTGCATGCCCCAGCAATCCTCTTATAAGCCTCCTTAGTTATTTGACCAAGTGTACACTTCTTATAAGCTTCCTTTTTGTGCTTTAGCTTACTGAAGAGTTCCCTGATAAGCTAAGCTGGTAACACAAGTATGATTTCCCTTTCACAGCCATGTCTGGAGAAGATGAAAAACCTGATGATCCGGTTCAGAGAGATCCTGTTCAGGAAGAACTGCTGACCAGACTTGACGGCGTGGGACTCTGCTCAGAGTACTGGCTCCCCAAGCTACGGGACAAACTGGGGGTTACCTCTCTGCAAGCTTTGAAACACCTGCAGTATGAAGACTATCTAAAGCTTGAGTGTGAAGTGGAGCACCCATGGGAAAAGCGGGCACTTCAACAGCTTCTCAAATTAAGAGGCAGCAAGACAACAATGAAGCAGCTGCAGGAAGAGCGCTTGGAGAGGCTACAGAAGAAGCAAGAAAAAGCCAAGCTAGCACTGGAGGAGCTCAAGGAAATGCAGGAAAGTGGCCGAAGCCGCCAGGAGGAAGAGGTGAAATGCAAAGAGGAACAGCTGTGGGGAGCAATGGATGTACCCCGCGAGTACTGGGTGTCGTCTGAGAAGCCTTTGGTGGAGGTGATAGAGAACATGCAGAAGCAACTAAACGTCCTGGAGGAGTCGGTGTCCAAGGGGGAGAACATCCCCGACGAGGAGGTGCTGAGGCGGGCGTCGGGAGGGCTGGCCCTGCAGGGCATTTACAGAACAGACAAGCTTGAGGACATGCTGGAGAAGAGAGAGCTGCTCATCACCGTCCCAGACGGATTCAAGCTCTCCGGCCCAGAGCAAGGGTCCCTGTTTGAGACGAAGGCGTTTTCCTCGTCCAGAGCAGAATCCACCTTCACCAAGACCATGGAGAAGCTGGGCTTCAGCACGAGTGTTGCAGCCAAAGGTGGATTTGGGGGGTTTAGTGCCGAAACCAGCACAGATTACAGCACAGCTTCAGAACATGAAGAAACCCACAGGTCCCGCTCCGAGCACATGTACATTTGCACTGCCAAGTACAATTACATCCCTCTGGCCTCCTGCTACTTCCCAAAGGACCAGCTTCGACTGTCTAATGCAGCACTGCAAGAGCTAACAGGGATCGAGCAGCTTCTGAGTCGCACCCCGGAGCCAGACAGGCTGGAGATGCTGAAGAGCCGGTGCGGGGGTTTCTTCACCAGATTCGGGTCTCACGTCAACCAGGGCCCCCTCCACTTCGGTGGGATCTTCTGGTGGAAAGCGTCTTCCGAGGGATTTCGGGCAGAGCAGCTGGACGAGGTGAAGAAACAGACATCAGATGCCCTGAACTCCTATGTAGGGGGTAGCTTCATGGACTCTGGTTTCAGCGTTGCAGGGGTGGTTAAGGCATCAATGTCGAACTCTGCAGCATCGTTCCAGGGTACAGGGAGAGAAAACCAGGAAACAAAGATTCAGCTGTTTGTGACCAAGACAGGAGGCCCCCATGACGTGGATACTCTTGCACGATGGAAATCGGAGCTTGTGATGAATAACAAAACCTGGTGCGTTATAGACCGAGGCCTCCAGCTGATCCCAGTGTGGGACATTATCCTGGCCAATCACAGACAGGACTTTGCCGATGTTCATCAGGTGAGCAACAGTCTCCGGGCTGCCTACACAGCACTGACAAACCAAAGCACCAGCCCATTGTTTGGAGAGGGATTAATTAGCGCAGTAGATGAGGCGAAGGCATTCTTGGAGGATCTGAAGACCTGGCACGTCACTGGGGATGAAGAGCAGTTGTTGAAGTTAATGGACTTCAAACAGAAGCTGAATGAAAGAACAAAGGACTACAGCGTGTGGATCAGCGTCTGCCTGTCAGACAAGGGGCTTCAGGACTTCTTAGAAAAGACAGTTTCTCTGTGCAGAGAGTTGCCGGCACAAAACACCTTTTCCATCAGATCTCGGCTGCGCTGCCTTCTGGACCCTCACGTCTACTCCGTGAAGAACTTCCCCCGATCCTCTCTCATAATGCAATGGGTTTTCCATACCGAGGATGCGTGTCCAAACCCCGTCAGCGTCTCGGACTTTTCAGCCCTTACTGAGACACTGCAGCAAATGAAGAGTTACATACAGGAGGTCACCTATGAGCCACTGTCCTCTGCAGAAACCATTCAAGAAGCAAAGGTAAAGGCTACAACACATGTCAGCTTGGCTTTGTCTTCTCTACTGGAGGGTCTGCGGGAGAGAGCGCAGACGGACACAGAACTGCTACTGCTCTCCATCGCCGCCAGCACCGGATACCAGGTGGAAAGCCACACCTTTCAGCACCTCCTTGGAAGTCCCGACATTAACTTCATGCTAAGGGAAATGCAAACAGCACATGAAGAATATTTGACTCTGAGGGATGGGG